TCATGTACATCAAGTTTTACTCAACATTCAGCTACAATACAATCAGTAAGTGCAGGAACAAATGGTTCAATAACATCTTCTTCACGTAAAAGACGTCAAAGATTTAAATATTTAGCTAAAAGTTCTGTAGGCAATGAACGTAAAGCAATGCGTGTATTACTTATTATATTTTCAATATTTGTTATATTATGGACACCATTTTTTATTATTAATCTTCTTTCTTGTTATAAAACGGATATTCATCCGATTTTAATATCAACTGCAACATGGCTTGGTTATTGTTCATCATGTGCAAATCCAATTATTTATACTATATTTAGTCGAGCTTTTCGTCGAGCTTTTGTTAATATATTAACATGTCGAAAAGTAATTCATTCACATCGTTCATCATGTCATTCAATGGTTATGTCAACTGGACGAAAATTTTCATCACTTAGCAAAGGACAAATTGATCAACGTTAATAATATAAATGTGTTTCTTAGTTTTCAAAAAATATCTTTCTATATATTAGAATTTTACTTTTTCTTTTCTTCAAATGTCAGATTTAAGTGTTATTTGTTTATTTCATTCAAATTTCTCTATTATCATTTTGTTTAATTTAGTTGAAAGCGAAAATGAATATTTTATATCGTGACTGAAATGAGATTAGAAGTTCATGGATTTCTATGAGAATTGCATTGAAAAAGAAGCAAACCAAAAAAAAAAGAAAATCAGGTTTAAGATAATAATATAAATATTAATTCAACCAGAGAAATTGATAGAAGATTTTCTTTTTGAGAAAACTTTTGTCAAATAATTCATAAATGTAATTTGGTGATAGTTCTTACTAAGAATAAGTATCTATATATATATATATATATATAGGAAAATAGGTTTTTCAGTGTAATCTTGTAAACAAGAAATTTAATACCAAGTTTAAATATTCTTCAACTTGTATCAATGGTAAGTTATATATCTATAGAGTCAAAAAAACCAATAATGTTATCAAGAGATAATGTATCGAATTTGGCTAATAAATGACCCTTAAAGAATCTTTTGATATCTGCACTTTATTGATTCTCTATAACTGTACTAAATGAATGAGATTGATAATAAGATACTTCAGTTTATGTTATATCAAACACAATATATACTAATCTATTTATAAAGCATACGCTTTCCGATCAGTGCCGCAGCCAGAATTTTTCGATATGCTCGATCTCAGCTTCAGAGCATGGGACCTAGATGAAACTTATGGAGGATGATATTGGATCGAAATAATGAGTCTTTATGAAAAAAGTTTTGCGATCGGAGTTTGCGAAAAAAAATTTTCTTTTTTTAGCCCCCCCCCCCCTCCTATTTTTTTGGGTTTTAGTAATATTCAGTTTTTTAGAGTTTCTTCGTAATCTACATCGAATTTCATCGACAGATTTAAAATTTCATCTAAAAACATGCATCCGTTCAGAAGTTATAACGATTTAAATTTTTGCAAAATGTCGCAAA